ATGAAAATAAAATAATATTTTTGGTCGAATACTCTCCCCCCTCCCTCTCTCTCTCTCCCTCTCCCTCCCCCCCCTCCTCTCTCTCTCTGTGTATGTGTGTGTGTGTGTGTGTGTGTGTGTGTGTTACTGCATATTTGTGGTCAGCATAACCTGATAGTGACTAGATGGATCACCAGGCATAAATTATGTAAATGCGGATGTAATTTTTATCATTAATGATTAAATGTCAAAATAAATGTCTGTCGGCCACAGTATAGTACTTTTGCGTATAGAATGTTTGTAATATGGGTAGACAAAACCATACGTTAAGATATGTATGTTATGATAATTATAACCTTATTTCTAAAATCAATGAGACAGAATCAGAACAGCACAATGTACGAACACCTTTGGGTATTAGGATTTGGAACCCTCGTTTTATCTTGCTATTGAACAACAAATATATGTTTTCTTCATACCATAATGTAAACATTTCATTGTAGGTACTGTTACAGTAATTGATAGTTTATGTACTTTACGACGCGGATGCATATACGTAGCAAACTGGTCACTGTGATCAAAGCAAATGTAATGCATATGTACAAATAGAAATATCAAATTCGCTTTCCTTTCAGGAGATGGAAGTGAGGATGACTACAAGGAACCGTATCTTGTATCGTACCACTTTGATGTTACCGACCAAAGCCACGGTCAAAATGGAAAGCAAGCATCGTTCATTGAAGATAATACCACAAACTCAAGATGTCGGGAAGTCTCATTAACAAGTGGTGAGGAGTCTTACATACATTATAAAGCCGTCCAGAAACTAGCTGTTGTACCTGTACAGTCTGCGTGATATTGTAAAGTTTTGACATTTTGCATTTCATGTCACGCCTTGATATTTTATGATATACAATGATATGGACAACCATTCTACCGATAGAAAAAAATGCAAATTATTAGGGACGGCTATTCTTTTTCTTGGTTTGTCATTACGAAACAAACTTTAAGAAAGGATATTCGATAACCACAGGTGTTAATGTTACAGTAGTTGGACTGTATTTTCACATTTTATTGACCTCAGCTCAGAAATACTTGACAAAACAGTATATGTATGTCACAAGGCAGAAGCATAAATACATAGGAACGTTTTTTCAGCTTTCCGAGAGGACTCAATTAATTAGATTACAATCAATTATTAAATACAGTTCACGGTTAATAAAAAAATTAATGTTTTCATCGACGTAGACATGACCAGCAGAATCCACGTTGACGTTCTGGAAGACAAAGAACCGCCTCAACTCAACGGGGATGATATTTCCCAGAACCCAACAGACCACGATTATACTTACACTGATGATCATGATTACACTTACACCAGTGATCATGACACCAGTGGTCATGACCCCGGCGATCACGATTACACTTACACCGGTGATCACGATTATACGTACACTGATGATCACGATTATACCGACATGGACTATACCGGTATCGACGTTTACGACTATACCGATATCGACACCACTTCAGCGGCGGTGGACGGGCAGGGTGAAAAAGAGAAGCGAAACGCGGGTTTCGCCTCATCACATGGTCGGCCCGAGATGCATAAGTCTCAGAGAAGCGAGCCTGTGAAAAACACATCGCAAGCACGAAGGGAAGAAGAAGGTAAATGATTGATTTACTAAATGAAATGTCCCAATTGCTATAAGTCAAATTTAATACCTTTACGAAAGTTCATCTGTGTTGGTAGTTTTACGTTTAAAGTTAAAACTTTTGTTCCAACACATGGGGTTGTTCTCGCTTAGAGCTTTCGGCCAGTCCCTCTGGTCTTCTTCAGTAGACTGACCCAGTGAGACTTGTCACGTGACCTCTCTGAAGTGTAACGTCACTACTGGGTCAAAGGTCTAAGTGAGAACAATCCTTTGGGTTGAAACAAACTTTTCAACTTTCAACATCTCATACATTTTGTTCAACATCTCATACATTTTATCTTGAGTGTAGTTAGACTCAGGCTTTTTGAGTTACTTTCTTGTCTTTTTTTCCATTTTTTTTACAGCAGCTCCCAGATCTTGCATTGTTGCAACTAGGTATATAGAAAACTTGCGTTAAGTTATATATGGCCTCCTTTTTCAATGTTGTCCATTGTAAAATTATTAATTGCTAACAGCCGTACAACGTCTTGCGACAAGGACTAATATGTAATTGGTCAAAGTTGTGAGGAAACTTTTCTTCCAGCTGGAGGAAACATCATCCCAGTGTGCCGATGGCGACATGTCATAGTTGTGACAGTCGTCATCGTTGTCGCCACCTCGTTTAACGTTGGACTGTGGCTGATGACGGCTGTACTACAGTCTGACGTGGACTCGAGCACTGTAAGTATATAGTTTACCTGATTATGCCAGGACTTCCACAAATCATTGTTTTAACATCACTACTTGCGAATCATTTTAAAAAAGAGGACCTAACCCTAGCTTCAGCCTGTAAACTCATCATGCACTGATGTATATGAAAACGCTCATATATTTTTTCATAGCCATCCACATCTATCCGGTCAGCTGACAAAACTCAGTTAACTGCTACATGGGCACGGAACAGTTCATGTGATATTCCCGGGTCGGGGCCAACAATGCCTGCACACACACGTGACATCAACGTAAGTAATTTTCATTATCCGCGAATTATCCAAAAACCATG